TTACACGTTTCTAAAAGTTTCAGTGTGTCAGCGATATTTTAATTTGGCGCGAAAGTCGCGGTATTCATAGCAACATCGCGCTGCACTAGCGGTTTCTTGCGAAGATGCACATTGACAAAACACTGATATTATCGTAATTTTTCACTTCAATTTCACGACTACTAAAAAAATAAACTTAGGTGTTGTGTCTACACTATCGAAGACTATGCTTGTTTCCGCCACAGAATAAAAAATAAAAAAGGTAATTGCGACTTTTTATCTCAAAATTGCGTGATATAAACTAGCATTTGTGAGTTAAAAAGTCGCAATTATCTTTTAAAATATTTTATTCTGTGGCGGAAACAAGCGTCCGTAAAGACTGGAACGATGCGAACAAAAAATAATCGAGTGTTTTAACTACCGGCTACACCGCCATGTTTGTGCGGGAGTTGGTTTTCCAAGGCATGTTGGTGCAACACAAAAGGCTGTGTGTGTGTGTGTGTGTCCAGATGTGAACGCCTCCGCCTGAGGCCTCATGAGGGTCAGTGCACTTCTGAGGGCACTTAAACTCAAACAACTATTCTCACTTACAAACCCTTACAGTCCCGCCGAGGTTATCAGATTACTGTTCATAACCCTTTACAAATGAGATCTGGAGTGTCATCAATTTTATTCATGATGGTTTCCAATATACATTTCTGCATATCTCTGCACGTTTATCTCACAATTCTGACTTTTTATCTCAGTTTAGATTTGCGTGATATAAAGCCACAATTGCGAGAAAAAGTCAGAATTGCGAGTTAAACTGAGATAAAAAGTCGCAATTATCTTTTAAAATGTTTAATTCTGTGGTGGAAATCAATCAATAGAACCATTGCTCAGAGTTATCTGGTCTTATAATGTTCTCAAAACATCAGCACAAAAACATTATTTATACATCATTCAGGGAACATGTTTCTGAAATGTTTTAGCTGGACATTTGAATGTTGATGCTTGTTTGTTTCAGAACGTTGAGATTCAAAAGTAACATTCGCATAATGTTAGAAGAAGAATGATACAATTGAATGTTTTCAAATGTTCGTATAAAAAACTTTTTTAAAACAATTAACATTCCGAGGACATTCCGATTAATTCAGAACCATAATGGGGACATCACTCAAAGCTTCCCAGCACATGTTCGTGTCAGCTCCACATCTGCAGAGGAATGCGCGTAACCCTGCGTGTGCGCGGGGAACGGTCCAGCTGGAGTTATGGATCTGATCTCAGACCTGCCCACAGCCTCTCAGTCACAGCCAACACCATAAATCATGCGCTTATCAGCTTTTGTGGAGTTCAGATGATATTCATCATCAGATGCTGATTTTAGCGTGTGTTATAGTCGCCCTCTGCTGGTGACGTGTGACATCACTGAACCAATCACAGCACAACCCCAGCAGCATCTGATGACGAGAGAAGACGTTTAAAGAACGGGCAATATCTTTGCACAAAACAAATAAATACATATTAAATTATATTTGGTTTTGATTTTTGAACAATTAATATTTATCCTTTTTTCTTATGAATTAAATGGGAAAATGTGCTTAATTGTCTTGAAAATGTCCCAATGCAAAACATATTCATTGAACTAAATAATATATATGGTTCTAAATTTTTATTTTTTATTTTGGAGTGAAGTACTAGCCTGACTTCATCATACTCATATTCTAGTCAGATGTGAGTCTGATGCAAGGGGGTAATCCATCGACCGGAAGTTGAAGCCGGCCGGGTGCCGCCATGTTGTAGCAGAACTTCACTTGCGTTAGCATTTCCATTGACTCCCATTCATTTTGGCGTCACTTTGACAGCGAATAACTTTACATCTGAGGCGTTCAAAGACTCCATTTGTCCATTATTTATTTCTAAAGAAACACGACAAGGTATAAAGGGCTCCATTACCTTCTATGTTACATTATGGCCCCGTAGAAAACAGATTTAGTAAAAATAGGCTAACGATTGCGTCATAACCACTCGACTCTCTGTCGCGCTGTACAGAAATGACCGTACAGACAGGAGGAGAAGCTCGCAGAGCGATCGGGGGACGTCCCGTCAAGGGAGAAGCCCATAGATAATGAGTCCATAAAAGCAACGGAATTCTTACTCCTGCTCACTCACAGCCAAAGAACTCTTTGCTCAAGTTCCCCGTCTCTGCAAGATTAACGTTGGCCGTTTTCACGCACAAGCTACTAGAAGAGTAACGTCTGTCAGACAGGTTGCTCACGTCATCAAGCTTAGTTTGAGTCGGTCTGAGTCTGCGCGTCAGGAACGGAAGTGCTCAAAAATCGCTAAAAATGGGCTTCAACTGCCTCAACTGAGTTCCAATGAGATGCTCTGTCCACTTCCTTATACTGTCTATGGTCTGATGCTGCTCCATAGGGCTGTGATTATGAGGCGTGTCTTAACCGAACCAGGAAAAAAAAACCTCTGCACTCAATTGGATAGACCTACAACCAATCAGAGCAATCAGAAGTGTTTTTTTTATGAG